CACATGAATTTATCTTCAAAAGAATCACTGTTCAAACCCAATTCAGGCCAAGACAACTCAGAGTTGTTTACACCCCTTTCTGCTGTTGTACTGTACTTGTTTGCCTTTGAATCCTTCATTTGTAATTTTGCTGCTTTTTATTGATGGCAGATGTGCCATCTGTGTTTTTCCTCCATGCTGTGTTGTTTCACAGCATTTTGGGCTTTTTCCATTCCTTTTCATATCTTTCCAGAACTCTGTTAGAGCTCTTTGTTAAGCCACGGAGCTTGAACATAGATAGCTACAGAACAAACCCCCACAAGGCAGCTGGAATCCCCATTGAGCATAACTAAGCCTCAGTAAGTAAATTAGAGAATTAAGGACAGGATATCTCTTTTTATTTCTATCAGATTTTCTGTATTTTGGGAGGCACATGCTGAATTAAGGGTTTGCTTCTGAGTGGGGGAGTTGGCTTTTATTTTATGAGGGGTCCTTGGTGTTCTTTGAGCTTGCTTTTTTCTTGCAGACATTTCATTACCCAAACTAGGTAACATCATCAGTGCTAATGAGCACCAAAGACCTCTCAGGTCAACCCTGAGCTAAAAGTTTTCTCCTTTATTAGCTTTTATTTTTAATTTTTGAATGCTGGGAGTTCACTGGAACCTGTATCTTGTACATTTAAAAGCAACAGAACTGCTGCATTATAGTTAACTGAGGAGGAGGTTTAGTATTTATTTTTTTACTAGCTGTACCCGGCCACGCGTTGCTGTGGCTCAGTCTGGTTAAATGGAAAAGAAAGAAAAGAGAAAGCGCACGTTTGTAATATGTTTAATTTCACAATGCTTGTGGGTATACAATATTTTTTGTTGGTCCATTGTCTGTGCATGTTTTTACCTGTCACAGGTACGACCTCTATATAATAGTAGGTATATAAAAACACGCGCGTATTCAAACGCAACGTTGTGTCAAAATTTCAAAGCAATCAGTGAAGAACTTTCGGAGATTTAAGATTTTGAACAAACGAACATTTACATTTTTATTTATATATAGATAGATATTGGTGAGAATTGCATTTGGATTCATTCATTTGAATTTTGGCTTGGAAAAAGATTTCCATCCTGCTTCGAGTGGCAGAGCCTCTTTGAAGATATTTAAGTTCCTTTGGAATCAGGAACCGTGTTGCAGCCTTCTTGTTAAGAGCATTTCAGTGTTAAAGCATAATTGACTGTTTTCAAAAAGAAATCTTAGACTCTTGGTGGTCCACATATACCTTTTAGCAATGAGTGAGACTAAAATTGCCGCTCAGATATCTGGCCAAACTTAGTGGGAACTGTACATTCCTCCCTGAAGTTTAAGTTTGGAATTGTTCTGCATTTAAATGTTGAACTGCCACTAAGCATATATAGTTGTATGTCACATATTCAATAATATCCTCACAGGATTTTGGAGGTTATGGATTTTATGATGTTCTCTTTTTGTCTGTTCTTATCTTAATGAGATCCAAGGTGCTCTGGTTCAGCCGCTTTAACCTTAGTGTGTTCCTTCTTTCTACACAGCAAGAGAAGCTAGGTGTGGTACCTTGGGAAGAAAAATAAGTGTCTTGCATTAAACTCACTGGAAATGAAATATTTTCTTATCCAGGATATGAAATCTCCATTGTTTATAGAAATAACCAGAGCTTTGAATGCACAGAAAATGCCTAACCTTGCTTAATCTTGTCATTTTAGATGCTTCACGATATGAGTTTTCTGAAATGTTCATAATGGACGTGCGTTTATCCCACATAAATTATTTCATCAAAGTTCTTGTTAAATATTCTGTAATGCAACCATTCTAGATTAAAGTGTCTTAACATGTAGTTTATATAAGAAAAGTTTTAATAGTGTTCAACTATCTTTCAGCAAATGTCATTTGGGTACTTTTACTGCTTTGTATGTGTACAAAATGAGCTTGCCTTGGTTTTCAAGTGAACATTGAAACTATGATGTTTGGAACACCAGAATGTCAGTAATAATCAATGATTATCAAAAAGTTCGTAACACTTTTGAATGCTGAAGAAATAGAAAAAAATTCTCAAAATCCATCTGGAATTTTGTCTCATTTGGACTTTCTGTGAAATATGAACCATCAGCGTAAACTCTTCTTCGTGTTATAAACATCCCATAAAAGGCATTTTGACACTACGACATTCTCACGAACTAGCCATTCCACTACATATTTCTGGGTTTATGGTTGTTTTTCTATCATATACATATGTATGTATCATATGTATTTTTGAAAAGTCACTATGTAGATTTACTAGAACAAAGCAATAGGATTAACTAAATAGATATTCCTGTATTTAAGACAGTTAGTTAAGAATTAACTGTTTCCAAGATAGTTATATTTTCTAAAAGCTTGCTAACTTTCTCAGTTACAAAAATTAATCATCTTGGCCTTAGTGTGGTGTGAATAACCCAAAAAATATTAATATTATGTCATGGTGGTGCAGTGGTTAAAGTGCAGTACTGCAGGCTACTTCTGCTGGCTGCCTGCAGTTTGGCAGTTCGATTCTCACCGGCTCAAGGTTGACTCAGCCTTCCATCCCAGATTGTTGGGGGCAAGATGCTGACTCTGTAAGCCGCTTAGAGAGGGCTGTAAAAGCACTGTGAAGTGTAAGGGCTATTGCTATTTAGCCTCCACATTGAAGCTCTCTGTATAGGCAGTCCTTGACCGATGACCACAGTTGGGACCAGAATTTCAGCTGCTAAGCAAGGCAGTTGTTAATTGAATTGCATCCATTATATAACCTTTTTTGTCATAGTTGTTAAGTGATCACTGCAGTTGTTAAATGAATCACTCAGTTATTAAGCGAATCTGGCTTCTCCCGTTGACTTTGCTAGTTGGCTGGTAAGGTTGCAAATGGTGATCACATGACCCTCCATGCCGCAACGGTCATAAATACATACCAGTTGCTAAATGCCTGAATTTCGATCAAATGACTGTGGAAATATTGCATTAATGGTAAGTGTGAGGATTGGTCACGAGTCACTTTTTTATTGCCATTGTAACTTTGAACGGTCGCTAAACGAATGCTTGTAAGTCGGATACTATCTGCATCCTAATGTAGACTTTGGATTTCTTTGCTGAATTTCCTAACATAACAAATATAGTTCTTTTTGCTCGGTGAAATGTGCTTTTGATTTGCCTGTTTGATTTGCCTGTTTGATTTGCCTGTTTGAGAGGAAGTCTGCTCCATTGGAAATTTGGTGTGCTTAGAGCACTAGGATGTAGAGCACTGTTTAAATTCCAACCAGTATTTTTCTGACATATGGGCATCATTTAAATTCATATTTATTTTTGGCTGCAAAAACAGAACCGGATTGAATCTTTGGGCTTTTTAACATTTCAGAAAGTTTCAGAATGACCTCCTCTTGTACCTTGATGTGAATGAGGTGAAATCAGAATAAAACACAGTGCAAATTAGCAAATATTGTTCAACATATATTGTGTGCAACTACTAAGTGAGGCAACTTCTTTACTCCCACTTCTGTTTTTCAGAACATTGCATAGAATGTCATTGTTTAACTCAAACAGTTTCAAGGGTTTTTACATATAGTATCTGTAGAAATCATATAGATATAAAATTAGTTGCCGACACTGAAACCACAGCCCACTCCACTTTTCCTCATATATTTTTTTTTGCTGTGTTGAAGGTTATATAAGCATTTCCAAAATATACCTCACATGCTTTATGTGCTGAAAGAGGAAATATCTGTAAATTCGACTTTAAAAAAGAATCCTTTTGTTCCTTAAAAACCTCATAAAGTAGAAATAAGTGGTTGTAAAGAACTTGTCTTTCGGTCATATTTTCAGAAGTCCCAGTTGATAATTTGATAACTACATTTTCCAGTTATATGTAGCTAAATGCATAGTTTGCTGTGGAACTCTATTGGGCAATAGTTTTATTCAGGAGCATAAAATCATGAAATTATACCGATGGCATTCTAGCTGTTTCTCGCTAGAACTGGAGATTGAGACAAATAAAAACTTTTCTCCAACTTGCAAGTCTAGCTTGATTTACAGCAGGCCTCCTATCCCGATGAACAAAGTTCTATTGTACAGAGGTGCCAATTCAGCAGCTTGCCAGGCATTCAGATGCTGGCATTTATTTTAGGGTTTAATAAGCTAATTCAGTAACTGCTAGTTTTAACCAGCTGTTCCAAGTGGCATGGCAAGGGTACTGTAGCTGAAACTTTTCCAAAGTATAACACTTCTTTCAGGGAGGGATCCTGTAGAGCATACAATGGTTTCAAGGTCCTCCTGTAAAATTGGAGGAGAAAAAAGAATGAAGTAGATAAAATTATCTTCGGAGTGAAAATTAAACAATCTTGGAATTGTGGTCTGATAACAGTTTGGATTCTTCTGTTTCTACCCCTTCTAAGTCATGTGAATTTTGTAAATGGAAAAAGTTTGAGGTCTATCAAGCAGCAGATAACATAGTGGAACCCTTTTCAGCAGTTGCTTATCTTTTGCCAGTTTTAATGCTGATTTGGGTGCATAAACAGGAGGAAAAATAACAGTGGTAGGAAAATTCAGTAGCTAGAATCAGTTACTCGTATAAATGTATCGTCCCTAGGTGACTTCTGTTTTTGCAGAAAAATCAAAGTTCTTACAGCAAGGATACAAGCAGACTAGCCTTTCTTTCTTTCTTTCAGCAGGAAAAGTACTCACACTGTGAACTTAAGAAATCTCCATAGTTCCCCTGTTGAAAACTTCTTTTCTGAATGTATTGATGCCAAGTAGATCAGACAATAAAAAATTAGTGTGTTTTTCAGGTAGAAAACAGAAAAGCCTGAAAGGGAAATGGGAGTCATTTATAAAACCGGGAAATGAAGTTAATTCATTGAATGCAGTTCTGGTGTAGCCTGTACTCTTCTAATTTTAATCCTTGTCAACAATTTGCAGGCACTATTTTCAGAGCGACTATCAAGCCTTAGACAACTGTTGTTTAGCATCCTTATTTTCTTTTTTTCTGGCAGATGCCTATTCCACCTCCTCCAACGAAAATGGAGCAAAATCTGATTCTGTGGCTAACTTGCAGCCCCACACGTCCCTTAATTCTATCCAGAGCTCCCCTGGTCCAAAGCGTTCAACCAATACCCTGAAAAAATGGCTAACAAGTCCTGTACGCCGCCTGAACAGTGGGAAAGCTGACAGCAACATCAAAAAACAGAAGAAAGTACGTGAAGGAAGGAAGAGCTTCGACCTAGGTTCCCCCAAGCCTGGAGATGAAACCACACCTCAGGGAGACAGTGCCGATGAGGTACAAGTACACTTTGCCATTATATTTTTAAGAATGCTAACTTGAGCCTAACATTTTCATTTCTGCTATTCTGCTTTTCAATAGCTGATTAAAAATCATGATTGACAGTCTAATCTAGACTACATCCACACACCCTTTTTGTCCCAGTGTCAAGTTTACCTACTAGACACAGTCTTTGTCTCAAGAATCTGAAGCAAGTGGTCTAATAGGGGAGTGGTATTTTCATTTGGAAAAGGAAAGAAATGTCTCTGTGAACATTCTGGCTTGTGCAGAAGAGGAGTCTCAAGGACCTTAGGGATCTGAAAAGCTCCAGTTGGATTGCTGCAGGACCATCCCCACTCCCCACCCGCATTGGTATCTATAACTCCATTCCCACTTCTGCTTTACCCTACTGGAAAGCACAGTGCCTCCCTAGCAGCCAGCATTCTCTCTTCTTTTTTTCTTGTTAAGCTGAAGAAGTAGGAATAATAATTTTTGGAAGATGTTTCACAAGGTTGTTTTTTCTATCAGTAACCTCTGCAGTGTTCTTTGTCTCCTCTCCAGGAGGCAGGGAGCACTTGCTACAAAGGAGAAGCAGCAGCTTCCCTGCACCTGCTCTTCTGGCCCCACACCCTCAAGGCAGTCTTTGCACAGCCACAGTCCCACCCTCATATGAGGTTGGCCCTGTTTTACAAGCGTGGCAGGAACAGTGTGTGGGTAGTGATTTTCAAAGTGGTGCGTTTTCTTCCTGTCTTAAGCATATCACTGGGCATGTGGGGAAAAGACCCCAGTTTAATGCTGAGATTGAGCACTGATGACAGGAATTGGGTGAATCGCTCTTTTGTTGCCGTGAATAATACTTGAGTGAAGCAATGAGTAAAGTAGCCTTTATACAATGGAAGTAAATGTGTGAAAACTCATTCTCACATATATTATTTTCTTATTCTAATTTTGGCTCCGTATTATGGGGTGACTCGGGACTTACCGGTACTCTTCCACAAATAGAAGATTCTTATAGAAGGAAGGTCACAGAACAGCGTGGGGTTGTTGTTTTTCCTGCTATCCCTAAAGTTTCCATCATTATGTCCCACAGTATTTTCCCAATCCTCAAGAAGACTGTAAGAGGAGTTGCCTTAGTCGGGGAGAAGCAAGAATTTATTCATTTATTTGATTTTTGTACACTGAATTCAAATTAATTTTGATGTAATAAAACATAAACCTGTTTTTATTTTCTGCGGTTTTCTTTTAACCCTTAGTCAGATATTTGGACAGATTTTTTTTCCTTTAAACTGTTCATGTCTTTGTAAACATGATTCTCTTGCTTTCAGAAGAGCAAGAAAGGATGGGGCGAAGATGAACCAGATGAAGAATCTCATACACCACTTCCTCCTCCAATGAAGATTTTTGATAATGATCCTACACAAGATGAGATGGTAAGGCTCTAACTTGCATTTCTCCTTGGGATGACTTCATTAAAAAGAAAGGGGGGAAAACTCCATTAGGATCCAAAACATCAAGTTTGTTATATGTGGTTTTATTTGTTGATGTTTTCCTAGGCAAAAAATGGAACTGAATCATCTACTTTCAAAATCTTGGTTATACAGTATATTTAAGTACATTGATGTCTTATTTCCTGCTTAAGTCTTTATAATTTAACCTGCCTACATTTGTAGCTTGATTTTTTTTACATTCATACTTTTTATAGGTATTCAATGATGCTTCATTTATTTTGTTTGGACTTTTGGACTTCTTAGCAGTCAGACCTCTTAATTGTTTATTAAAGTTCAGTTGACGACCAAGAAAATTCTGGATACAGTAAACTCTTCTGAATTCTGAATATAGGGAAAATGTTGCATTCACTTCGAGCATTATATTCTATTACCATCTTATAATAATAATAATAATAATAGTCAAGTTGGAAGGGACCTTGAAGGTCATCTAGTCCAACCCCCTGCTCAGGCAGGAAACCCTATACCATTTCGGACAAATGGCTGTCCAGTCTCTTCTTAAAAACTTCCAGTGTTGGAGCATTCACCGCTTCTGGAGGCAGGTTGTTCCACTGGTTAATTGTTCTAACTGTCAGGAAGTTTCTCCTTAGTTCTAGATTGCTTCTCTCTTTGGTTAGTTTCCATCCATTGCTTCTTGTCTTGCCTTCAGGTGCTTTGGAGAATAGCTTGACTCCCTCTTCTTTGTGGCAGCCCCTGAGATATTGGAACACTGCTATCATGTCCCCCCTCGTCCTTCTCTTCATTAAACTAGACATACCCAATTCCAGCAGCTGTAAAATAAGAGTAATTTTTAAAATCATACCCAAATGCTTCCCTGCTACAACAAAAAAATCCAAGGAAAGAATTGCCTCATGGAAGAATATTTTCTTCTAGTGATCTTGTCAGTGGGAATTCTTAAACTTTTGGTGAACCTCTTCGGATCCTAAGAAAGATATCTGATAACCATTATTTTATAGCAGTTGATCATCAAGTAGTTTTAAACAACTCCTCTCATCATCTCCAACTTGTTTGAAACCATGTATAATATAAGAATTTGATTCCACCATTCTTTGTTTGTATATTACTCATATCTTCTAGTCATTAATTTTCTTTTATCAATTATCTAGAATTGTCAACTGGCAGAAGTCTGCCTTATTTCTCTCTTGAGCATCTTTATTAATATGTCAAAATTGTCTATTTTCATATAAAACATTTTTAGTTATTCTTTATCAAGTAATTAATGAGGCATCCTGCATTGTGGAAAGTTAGATAACAATTCCACAGCAGCTTTCCTAACAAATCCAAAAGTGCTAAGTAAGTTATTCACTCGTAATTCACCATAGATTTGCAAGAATCATCAGAAGGACTGTGTAATTTTTCTCCTGAAGGCTGATTTCTTATCCTCTCTCCCCATAATCTGCTTCTTATTGGGAGGAGATAATAATTAATAACCATGCCATTATTTGGAGCAATAATGTTAGAGAAGGTCATTTTGATAGAATGCTCTACAGAGAATGATATAACTGCCCCTTGCTCTTGGGTACAACTTTCCAATATAATTTTCAGCTTCCTAGTGCTCTTTTGATTACAAGCAAATGGTACCGAACAGCACAAAGACTTTAATATTTGAAATTTGTATTTTCGTGGATTGCTAACGATTGGAGTGCTTCATTTATAATCTAGATGTGTTGCATAACTTCAGGGGGGAAAGGCCATTAGAGCAATAGTGGCTGCCTTTCTGATCAGACGACTGAAGAATAGTCAATATTGTGGATATTACTTGACTTGGAAGGATTACATATCTGAGTTCATATATCATGAAAAGTCATAATGTAATTTGTTGTGTTCACTCAGGCACTGCAGTTTGTATGCCACCGTTTATGGCTTAGTGTAGTGTTTGAAGTCAGTCACAATGCTTATTGAATGAACTGTAGTGAAAACAAACTGTGATTCTGCACTGCTGTCTGTATACAGCAAAAGAATTAAAATAAATTACAAGTCCTTACTTTCCCAAGGGAAAAGACATTGCTAGCAACTCTACTTTCCTTAAATATATTTTAATCATTATGGTTTTACTCACTTTGAAAACTGGAGTTTTTAGATCTCATGAATCTAGTTGACATAGAAATCTGAAAAAAGATAGGCTTCTCCAACAAGTAACAATGCTCTGTTTGCTACAGTATTTCTCAATAATTTTTGAAGCTTGCACCTCTCTATTATTAGTAAGCGCTAATTCTTCTACATTCCAGGTTAAAAAGTAAACTTTCTCATAACCTGGAATTGTTTTAATATGGCTTGTTGGTAGCCTATCAGTCACACAGAATCAATGAGAGAAGATAAACAAAATTCTTAGTGCACAATATTCTTAGGGAATAATGCAACAAGAATGATACATCACTCACTAACAGTTCTTAGCAAACCTTCATCTGGCACTGCTACCTAATGCTTGTACAATAGTCCATTTTGTTGAGAGAGTTATTTGCCTGTCACTACTTGGGTCCAATTCAACCACACTTATTAATTTCACTACAGTTTTCTTGAACTTTGATTATTTTACTCCTCCTTCAGGGAAGTCTACACCTGTGGAGATCATTAAATTATATAAAGATTAGTTTATAAAGAGCCTTCTACCTTCAAGAACACAGGTGACCCACATCTAGGTATTACACAATTCTCAGATTGATTATACATTTTTCTGAATATGTTCAGTTCTTTTTGCATAGAAGAGTTGGAACATGGAGAAAGATATTTTTGAGAACATGTAGTATTGCTTTTGAGTATTTTAGGAATCAGAATCAGCCCACTGCATTTGCCTCTTTGTCAGTAATATCCTCAAAGCAGAAGAAATAGGTCAGAAACTCATGTTGCCATATAAAGTTCTTCATTGGAGATCTGTTTATGCTAAAGAACTTTCAAAGTGAGTCTGATATCCCAAAATTTGTATATGTGAATGTATGTACAAGAAAAGAAGATGAATAGATTGTATAATGCCCCAGTTGTTCTTTTTAGGCCCCATGTTTCTTCTTGGTGCAGAAATATTCCTTATTTGCTTTTAAAATAGCCAAGTCCTAGGATCTAACCTTTAGAATCTATGTAGATATTTACACATTCAGCAGCCATGTATTTTACTACTTGAAAACCAGTGGACAAGAAAAGAGAATATCTGAATATTGGAGAGTAACTGCTTCAAATGTTACTTTCTTAAGGTAGAAAATGGGTGGGGAGCAGTTCTGGATATATTGTAAAAATATCTAATGCACTGTGAAGTGTTGCCCACAAAAATTGTAGCACGAATTGAAGCTATTTTGCTTTCTTTTGTAGATTCTTGCTTGATAGTTTTAATGGAATAAAGATGGTAGCAACTGACATTCTTATCTCTCTTCCCCACTCACATTTTCAATGATGTCAGTGGAAAAAAATAACAGTCTTAAGTCCTTTTTTGTTTTTAATATCAAATTATATATTGAATATCTAGCAGCATTCAGCAATCATGCTTGGTACAGAAAGATTTCTGCTGATAGAATACTGGACTAGCAATACAATTAGCTTGATTCAACTTTTTCCTTGTACTACTTAAGTATAAAAATTAACATAGTAAGAAAAGAAATACGTGAACTATAGGAAGAGAAGAAGCAAAGCCTTATTCTTCCCCACATCCCCAAATATTTTACATATTTAACATCTGCTGATTCAGAAGAACACTGTTGACATCTTGAAATATGTAAACAAGAAGAAAACTGATCTCTTTGGCATTTTTATTTTGCTTTTTGTAAAAAAAAACAACTTTGAACCATCATGAACATAAATTCTAATCACAGCTTCAGAACTGTTTTTTGTTGTTTTGGGGGGTGCCAGTCTGTTGTTGAGTCCTGTGCCTTGTATATGTCGTGGTCTTTCCCCTCCCCCATAAGCTCTTCCTGCTTCCGCCATGTTTTTCCTGCTTTAAACCTAATGTATGACCTCAAACTGCTAACAGCTTTCCTCTTCTCATTCCTGCTAACCTACTGTTCCTTTGCAAACTGGTGTCTTGCAGTCTTCCTCTTTGCTAGCTTCTCGACAGACCAGCTCTGATGTCCCAACTGCTGCGGATCTTGTCAGTGCAATAGAAAAATTGGTCAAAAGCAAGCTGGTAAGTGTAGAGTCCTGAGATCCACTGGACAAAACTATAGTGTAGCTACACAGAAGGTCAGTTAGTCTCTGTCCCAACCAATCCTGCTTTCTCATCATTGTTGTTCTGCACATTTGAATATCTAACTAAACATGTGTTCTGTAGGTTTTTTTTAGTTGTAAACTGAGATAACATCTTTGTAAAATTGATCAATGCTGATTCATTCATTGTATGCATTATTCGATAAGCCTCTAGGCATACGATTGCAGCTTTCTTGTCATCACAACTTTTTTGACATTAGTCAGTGAAAAAAATGACCATGAAAATCAATATAAAATGTGTAGAAATGCTGTCATGAAAATGTTTTCAGATGTGTTAGCTGTTTTAAATATTTGCTGTAAGTGATGCTTATTGTTTCATGTATGGTAGTCACACCTTTTTTGTCACTATAGAGAGTTAGTTTTGGAAACTTTGGTTCAAAGATATTTAGCATTGTTTATGATGCCTTATGTTCATTTTAATGTTTTACCTTCAGTTAAAGAACTTCAGTTAACCTATAAATGAAGACTGTACAGTGCAATGAGGAATGTGAACAAGAATAACAATTTTAGATAAGAATGTTTAGTAACAAGCTATCTTGAACAGAATAAAAGAGCTCCAAGGACTGTGCTTAAAACTAAACAACATTGCATAACACTTTTTAATAATTGAACATTACAAATACTCAGCTAGCTGAAAGAAAAGTGACAGCAACTCAATACTGCAGCTGGCTATAATATAACAATTTGTTTTAATTTAATTCCTTTCAAAATTAACCTTGTGCCTATGGTTTTATATCAGCCTTCTACTTTCTTCCTTTTTCGTGTATCTAGATTTCTGCTCAACATTTTAACATTAATCCAATTTTCTCTGTGTTTTTTTAAACTGGAAAACAGTAGTTTAATCTCTGCTTACAGACAGGCATCTGATCTTGAGAGGAAAAAATTATTATCCATTTATTTAGAAGAGTTGCTATGCAGACAACACTCCTGTTATGCTAGAAACTGTTTCCCCTTAGCCTTAATCAAATACTGAAATGTTTTATTCATAATTAGTTATTATAAATCTAAAATATCAGAGAAAACAAGGTAAATATGTTGTCTAGTTAGTGGTTATAATTTCTAGTTTTATCTTTTGTCTCCCCCCCCCCCTTCTTTATTTCTTAAGACATTGGAAGGGGGCTCCTACCGAGGAAGCTTAAAGGATAGTACTGGATGCTTGAATGAAATTGTGACACCTTCAACCCCTCCTTCAAGAAACCTCGAAGAGGAACAAAAGGCCAAAGCTATGAGAGGCAGGATGTAAGTTAATCTGTTATTGATCTGTTTTGCAACTCTATATCTGATGCCATCTCCTACTAGAGTTTAGAAATGTCTGTGGGAAGAAACTCCCTCTTCAGCCGCAGCCCATATTATCAAGAGCAGATTTATTTATTATTAGCTTTTTATCCTGTGTTTGTTACTTTGTAAGTAACTTGAGGCAGCAAACATTCCTAATACTCCTTCCTACTCCTGTTTTCTCCACAACAACAGTTACCATATGAGGTAGGTTGGGCTGAGAGAGAGATTGACCAAAAGTCAAGCTGCCAGCATTCATGACAAAGGCGGCACTAGAACTCATGGTCTCCTGGTTTCTAGGCCAGCACTTTAACCATTACACCAAACAGGGTCTTATCATGGATTTGATATATCCACAAGTGGAGAGGAGAGCAAATTTTATTCCGGTAGAAAAAAAACCTATTTGCATAAAATTGGATGGAGTCTAAAAAGTATACATTGATAAGAGTGATAAGATCAGAATCAAGTACTGTAAGACAAGGAAAGTATAGACATTAGCCAGTACGTACCTTCTATCCATTGGGTTTGTCTTGGTTTAATCAAAATCACATTGAAGACGTAAGAGATTCAAAGGCAATCAGATCTGCTGAAGGCAATGGGAGCAAACTAAACCTAGTTCTTCATTAAGTTTTTATTTTTATATAATACAAAAGATAAGTCAGTAGAAGATGAGGGTTATTCTGGTATGCTTTCAGCCAGCTTCTATCACCTTGCCTTTTTTTTTTTTTTTTTTTTTACTCAGCTCATCTTTTCAGTATGAGGATATTCAAATTTGGCACTATTCAGAATTTTTTGCTTAATGGGAATTGCATTACTGACTAACTAGTCACACTCCATTAATTTAGAAATAGTTTTGGTCAGTGCTTGGAGTAGAGGCCTTGTGAAACCGATATACACCTCTTTTGAATTCTAGGTTTGTTCTAAATGAACTGATACAAACAGAGAAAGACTATGTCAAGGACTTAGGAACTGTGGTGGAGGTAAGTTAAAATAAATTAGTTTAGATATAAATTGTTTTTCAATAAAAAGCTAATACTGAGAACTTTTAAATCACAATCTGATTAATATTGACTTTTTGCAAGCCATTCTAAATATTCTTAAAAGTCTAACTGATTTAAACTCATCTAAACAAGTTGTCAACAAGTCCTTAAGGCTCATCTAAACTTGACATATTGCTAAACTATTAATAAAGAAACTAAGAGAAGCATGATGTCTTGCATATAAAAATCTCCTATTACAATGAGTAGTTGATTTTGTTTGCTTGAAAAATGAAGATTATTACTGGTCATATTCCTGTCTGCCATTGCTTAATCACTATTTTGATTTTCCTTTCCAAGGGATTTATGAAAAGAATAGAAGAAAAAGGTGTTCCTGAAGATATGAAAGGGAAAGACAAGATTGTATTTGGAAACATTCACCAGATCTATGATTGGCACAAAGAGTAAGTCTACAAGCTACTATAAACAACTAATGTTAAATTGTAGAATATTTATATTTATATGCATTTAATTTGACCAGTCATTACTTCTCTCTTTCTTCTCTCATTTGCAAGCAACCCAAATATCCACTTATGGCATAGATCCACTTATGGCACTGTGTCGCACGATTATTTTGTGCTGTATTCTAAGTGCTTTCTATATACATTCTATATATGCACATTTTTTATGCTTTCTGTTAGAAAATTATGTTTTTCATGTAGAATTTGTACGCATGTACGTCTAAATGCGTCTCCCAGTAGTCATTCTGTTTTTATTTGGTTTCTTTCAACCTTTTCTCTCCAAAATTCACTCTTGAAGTTACTAAATAATGGTTTGTCTTACATTCAGAACATCTTACTACCTTTGTATGCTTCATTCATTTTCACAGTTTTGTGGTAAACAGTTAAATCAGCCATGCTTTTTGCTTAATTCCTTTTCCATCTGCACATATGTATAATTAGGCTTATGCTACAGTCATATATTTAAAACACAGAGAGTTTTTCTAAGCATGTGTTGACCAAAAAGTCATCATTGGCATCGGTGGTGGGATTCAAATGAATAACCGGTTCTCTGTGTGGATGCCACTTCCGGAAGTACATTCTGGGCCTGGGCAACAAAAAATTAGCTACCGGTTCTGCTGAACTGGTGCAAACTGGCTGAATCCCACCACTGATTGGCATTAATTCCTTGGTTTTGTCTCATTCCCATCCATCTGTTCTATCACCTTACAGAATTTGCTTTTGCCTTGGGTTGCCTTCATGTAGAATGTTACACAGATTCCCTCCAAATTCACCCATAGGTTTAAGTTTAAGTTTAAGTTTATTGCATTTATATCCCGCCCTTCTCCTGGTGGACTCAGGGCGGCTTACAGCCAATTAAAAACAGAACAATTGATACAATATACAAAATTAAAACAAATTAAAAAATATATTTAAGTAGGCCATTCTTATTTTTTAAAAATTGATTAAAAATCCAATAATAAAATATCTTCCAGTATCTTCATTCATCAGACAATAACATGCAATTACCACAAATCTATATACTTCTGCTTTCAGACGCATCCACAGCAACCTAGATTGTACATATTTTTATCATTTCATTCATAATTATCATAAGGAAGTATTCCACTCTTTTGCATGTATTTTTCAACTCAATTTCTCGAGATCAGGCTACCTGAATTGATCTTTACCGTATTCTCTCCATGTGGTTTGTATATTTTAAATGTTTATTTTTTTATTTTTAATGATAAGTTTTTTTATACTTTTATAAGGATTGTCTTTATGTATTCTGTCAATGTAGTTTTACAGTACTGTAGAATTAGCTCATCTGTTTGTGATTTCTATCTGGTTTACCCTGCAACACTAACAGACAGGGAAAACATTGTTCCAGAACTGTCTTGATTCTTCTTTAGCTGTTGGCATTAGCTGAAGAAGATTATGACTTATTTTTTTTAAACAAGGGTTGCTATTGTATTGTACCTACTGTTCTTTTGTCGCTGGAATTATAATCCTGGCCCTTTCTGTTATTTAAAACTATGTCATGTGAGGATCAATAGGATTTTGCATTTTTAAACAATATTTATTTTAAGACATTAAGGACTGCCAGTTGGAATTAATTGTTGGCATGACAACTGTCTGAAATGTGAGTAGAGTGATATTTGCAAGGAAATACAACATTCAGATGAAGCTACAATTCATATGAGAGTACTAGCAGAAAAGACAGAGAATAAAATTGGGATTTAAGGCAGAGGAGTTTGTAGAACTCCAGTCCCTCTTTCAGAGGTAACTAATGTAACATCGAGTTTATTTTCTAATTATAGAATTATATTATAGAATTATACAGTGTGTCAATGGAGCATATTGGAAAAGAGGGATTTTGAACATAGTTTGCCTATTTTATATTGCAGCTTTTTTCTTACTGAACTGGAAAAGTGCCTTCAGGAACATGACCGTTTAGCACAGCTCTTCATCAAACATGTGAGTGTTACAAGTTAGACTTTTCTTAAAAAGAAATTAAATGCATTTCAGATCTGCTCACTTTATGGCATCATTTTTTAAAGATATCAAATAAGAATTCTAAGTCACGATATTCTAATTTTCCATAAGTTATAAAGATACACTATTTCACACATTTTTCTTTTCTAGATATAAGCAGTATTCAGTGGTGGAATTCAAATACAACAACTGGTTCTCTTATTTGATGCAAGCCTGGGCCTCCGAGGCCTAGAATGGACTTCCAGAAGTGGCATCCATACTCTTCCAGTGGGTTGTTCTAGGCCTGGGAGGCCTTCTCCAGTCCTCCGAGGCCTAGACTGGATTTCTGGAAGCCAGCCGGTTCTCCGAATGCAGCAAAATTTAGCTACCAGTTCTACCGAACTGGTGCGAACCGTCTGAATCCCACCACTGGCAATATTTTAATTTTAGTCATAATACAAAAAAAGCTATATTTTGCTTAGCATTTTCTTACAATTCAAACAAAATAATAAAAAGGAGTCTTTGCTGAACATTTAACTTGCAACCCTCTTAAACTAAAACGATTATGCATAATGATTAGGTTTTTCTTCCTAGTTATATAGCCTTGTCATTGTGTTCAGGATACAGTCCTTCAAAGAAAAAAAATCTAATGTAGTATAGATGTACAAAAACAGAACACACACCTTCAAGTAATACATTCCAGAATCTAACTTGCAAAAGGTTATCTGAATGGATAGCAATCAGAGTTCAGACCAAGAACTGCATGGTCAACATTTAGAGATGATCTTTGGAGAAACAAAGACAGAAGGAATCCAACTCTCTTGGTCCTTCTTAAAGTCTCAGTGACTTTCAGTGCCATCACTCATGGTATTGTTCTATTCTTACTCCATGGGATTGGAATGATGGGTACCATTCTTCAGTAGTTTGATTTTTTCCTAAGAGAACTGATCCAACCTGTGTGTGAAAGAGAGACAGACAGAAAGAGATTTATCCAGGGATTTTTGGTTAGAGTGATGCAGGACACTCTGCTCTCATGAAACTGCTGGGAGAGGTCCTCCATTGACACAGGGTCAAATATTGGTGGTATGCTGATGGTATTTAATTATGTATTCAGCCCTGCACCAATTACACAGTGTTGCAGAAGTGCTGACCCCCATGCCTAGGAGGAGCAGGAATAGATTTAGATTGAAACCCTTTAAAACAAAAGTGGCTTTGGTTAGCGACCCCATCTTAATGTTTTCCTCAGCTTAGTGTATATATGAACTAATCTTTTGTTCTTTTGTTTTCTTCAACATTTTAAGGCGCTCCCATCATTTTTTTATTAGATTAGCAGACAGAAAAAAATGTGCATGATTAAATTCATTTTTCTGCTCTGCCCAATGGCTGTGAAAGTTGTAACATCAGCTTATTCTAAAATAGCTGTGTATTTCACTTTTTACAGGAGAGGCGATTACACATGTACGTGGTGTACTGTCAAAACAAACCAAAATCAGAATATATCGTAGCTGAATGTGGTACATATTTTGAGGTAAGTTTGGATGCCTGTTCTGTGCCACAGTTCAGTTATGAGGCCTGGTTTCCTCTTTCTTCTTGTCTTTTCATGGATCTACACCAGCAAGTTTTCCCCTGCTTGGACTGTTGGCTTTGCTCTTGTGTTGTTCTGCTTTTTTAGTAAATGCTTCCTCATATTTAACAGTGGATATTTGTTCTTGGGTGATACTTGGCTTCTTAGCTGGCAAAAGTGGAGAATGTATACGTGAGTAAGGAATGGAAGAGAGTAGTTCCTGAATACTAACTAGTTTCTAACTTTCAATCAGATTAAAATTTTTCCTAAAACTGTAATATAGAAATTAAATTTCTGGTAACACTGTTTTGAAGTTTACTTGCAAGTTAGGGTTACTTTCGGGTTATATAATGCTCTGAATGACAAGTACTACTGATAATTTGGCATTGCTTTTAGTAAAAAGCAAGGTTAAATTTCTTATAAATACATCAATTAAGCCATTAATTATTACATTACATTTTACATTATTTTGAAGCAGATTCATGACTGATTAGATAAATGTATATAGAAAAGATACAGTAAGGCATGTTATCAAGTATTTTCTGAATAATGGCATTCTGCTTGTTATAGTACAGGTGGTCCTTGACTTACAATCACAGTTGGGACTGGAACCTCAGTCACTGAATGAAATGGTCATTAAGTGAGATGTCATGCGACTGCTTTGCTCAACAACCACAATATGGGCAGTCCAGATTGCGGATGTTAAGCAATCTCATGGGTCTTTAAGCTGTTGGAGCTCCAAGAACTGTCTTGACAGGATGGAGGATACTTTGGCAAGGCTCCACCGAGGAACTGAAAATCCACCCTGCCAAAATCCAAGTAGGATTTTCAGCTCCTGAGTGGAGAGACATTTGCACGTAGTGTGTACGAGACCTCCTAGGATCTTCCTCAGCTGCCTGAGGCACCTTTTACTGTGTTACTTCTCCATTTCCTACTTGGATTTCAGCTCCCTCTTGTCTCTAGGGGGCTGGCTGAACAAGCTGCCTGCCAAAGCAGGCATCAGCAGTTGGCAATCTCCCATTGACTTTCTGAGGAGGTCTGTAGAGAAGATGGTAAATGGTGATCATTTGCTCATAGGGCACTTGGCAACCAGTTGAAAGTGCGAACAGGTTGCCCAGCAGCCAGACAGTAATCATTTGACCATAGGAGTGGTGGTGCAACATTTTGCAAAGGCTAGAGGTACTTTACGAACCATCCATCACTATAGTCATGAGTTGAAGACTATCTTTGTTTAGATGATGGGCTGCTCATTGTAAGATGTTCCGTAACCTGAGACTAATTTTTGTAGGCACAATTGCTGAATCTGAGAAACTGTAAAGTGTGGTCAGTGCCCTGATTGGATCCCACATATGCTCCCTTGAGTCTCATGGGGGAAAAAGCAAAGGAGAAATTAATTATTTTCTCTCAACAGTGATTTCTTCTACTTTCATTTTATAGGAAGTGCAACAAGAAATAAACCAGCGGTTAACTCTCAGCGACTTCTTAATTAAGCCCATTCAAAGAATAACCAAGTATCAGTTGCTTCTCAAGGTAAAACACATCAAAAGATAACAAATGTGAGGTATATCAAAAATTCATCAGTGACTGGAGTATAATTAGGAGGGTCTCCTTAAGGGGAGCTGGGCAGCTATATGCATTAAATAAATAAGTGAATAAGTACTATGCTTACCTGTTTTAGCCAGCAGTATTACCTAGCCAGTTTGTTCCAGTTTGTGAAAATCAGCTTTAATTATTTTGGTATTTGCTGGACTGCTTCCTGAAGATATCATGCTGGTCCTGGTGCTGAGCCTGATCGCTATTCCAAGAACCATGTGTGTACAAATACTGTATATAGATAAACTCACCATCACCTGGTGGACATCATGATGAGTTACTATTGGAACCAGATATCTAATTATCTAACTCCACTGGTTTTAGTTGTGTGTTTTTTAAAAGTAACACATACAAGGATTCATATAAAAAGTCTTTTATAATTTTAGTAAAGCTTTATGAACTTTTTCCCTCCACATGAATGGAGCTAAATACTACAGTCTTTGTCAGGAACTCTGTTCTGTGTGCCTCTATCGATCACACAAGGTAAAATGTTATTTAGGATCAAGCCTTTGCAATCGAAATGGTGGCATCTCTTTTACGGAACTCTTCTTTCTTTCTTTCTTTCTTTCTTTCTTTCTTTCTTTCTTTCTTTCTTTCTTTCTTTCTTTCTTTCTTTCTTTCTTTTCTTTCTTTCTCTCTCTCTCTCTCTCTCTCTCTCTCTCTCTCTCTCTCTCCCCCCTCTCTCTTTCTTTCTCTCTTTCTTTCTTCATCTTATCCTGAATTTTGGAATAATGGTTCCTAAAAGAATGTTAACATTTTTAATATTAAAAATGCAACTTTCAGCCTTCCTTTTGGTTGGCATTAGTTATCTCTTATAAAGAAGAAAAGCTATGACTACAGGCAGATAGAACTATTTCTCTGACTTGTATTGCACGTGCAGTGTCATAATCTAAACTAAGTACATAACTTCAGTCATAAATTTTATTAAGTATATAATCAGATGGTATGTACTATACATAAAATAGGTTTACGTATAATTTCAGATAACTCTGCAAGAAGACAACAGTTCTATTCATCTTTAAAAGTGCATTTAAATGTTAATTATTTTTAAAGAATAATATTCTTTTCCATAGGACTTCTTGAAATATAGTGAAAAGGCTGGATTGGATTGCTTGGAAATAGAGGTACAGTTTATTTGTTAATTTTTATTTTATTTGGTGACTGATACACTTTTTAAAAAACTGTTTAATTATAATACATTTGGATATTTCTAATTGGAGATTGAATTCCTTCTTTCCACTCTCCCTACCTCCCAGCAAGTGGGCAACAAAGCATGAGTTTATGGTTATCCATCAGTTTCTAAAAATGCCTCTGAGGCCCACTTGTTTTTACATATTTCCAAACAAAATGTTATCCAAGCTCTTTAAAATAATCAGTGGATTTTTGATCAACTGGAAGCTGCATTTCTTCAAAGGTCAATTTGATGAATGGGCATCTCTTCACAATATATCCATTTTCTGATTCTGACCTGTATTCTCTAGCTGGAAGGGTTGATCCATGTGTGGTCCTAGTCAGAGTAGAATGGGGGGGGGCAGACTGCTTTTCATTTGTTCCCATATTTACTCTGCTCCCCCTCTCTTACAGAAAGCTGTAGATTTGATGTGCCTTGTTCCTAAACGCTGCAATGACATGATGAATCTGGGACGACTGCAGGGCTTTGAGGTATCCCTCCATTTCTTATTAAGTAATGCCAGTTGCTTTCTTTTTTCTTGAAAAAACGATTGAGGCTTGTTGAAAACTTGTAAGAATGTATAATGGCCTCTTTCCAACAATTCTAGCTACTAGGAGCGGGAATATTAGGAGCTGTCCTCCAGAATATATACAGGCTTTGAAAAAGTTTCTGAGAACAGCTCATTCCCTCGGTTATTAAAGCAGACTATTTTTTTAAGTTTATGAATGCTTAAGTTCACAGAGTGGTAGGCTGAAGGTCTCTAATCGCCTTGATCTCATCTTGCTTTCTGGAGCAGGTTGTTTGTTCTTATTGCCACCACATTTTAGAGACATCTCACTTGGTGTCCACCCCTAATCAAAATATGACAGAGTTGTTGTAACCTGTCTTACTAGTCTGGTAATTAAGAAGACAAAATGCAAAAGCTGAAACAATTTCTATAGTGTCCTTTATGTATGCATAGAGATGACTAGAGTATTCCACTCTTTTCTCCCATGCTCATAAGCAATAAATCAACTTCACAATAGATAAAACACCTTCCAATTTTCTTTTAAAAACTTTTAAATTAAATTTAATCTTAAAATTCAGTGTGGGACACAGCAGCTTGCAGATCAGTCAATTGGAGGTTATAGGAGCTTTATTTCGACACACCGGGAAGATGCCAGGCTAGAGACAGTTGAATCTGTGACTGAACTCCATGGTGATGTAGACTACGTTCTTCTTCATCTGATAATATACAAACCCAAATTGATGCTACAACTTTCATTTGGGGGGGATCACAGTATCTAAAGGACTATTTCTTCCCCTATGTTCAAATTTGTGCACTTGAGATTGTTAGCAGAGATCCTGGCTGAAGGGTCCTTGCCTATAAAAATAGAGTGGGGTTCTCTCCCAGACACCTCCAATTAGAGGATGTGTGTTACCTATACTAATGTTTTTGAGGATGTTCATCCTAGAAGCATTTTAAATGGGTATACATTCTTGTTCTTTAATCTTAAAATGCTTCTGTTTCCATGGAAGTTATAATATCCGTTAGTGATTGTTGTCTGTTACATGTTAGCCCCTGTCCCAATTCATTTGAAATATTTTTGTGCTAACTTCATGTGTGTGTGTGTGTGTGTGTGTTCTATTGGACTTCTGTCATTTTTATTTATAGAAGTTGTCCTGAGTACAATGTACTGCATAGCAATTAGTAAACTAAATACGTTATTTTCCTGCATCTGTTCAGTTTATGTTTACTTCATTTTTTTTTTCACCTGTCTTAGGGCAAGCTGGCAGCTCAAGGGAAATTGTTGCAACAGGATACATTCTATGTAACAGAGCAGGACTCTGGAGGGTTGTCTCGGCCAAAAGAACGCAGAGTTTTCCTCTTTGAGCAAATAGTCATCTTTAGTGAACTACTTAGGAAAGGCTCCTTAACACCTGGGTACCTGTTTAAGCGGAGCATAAAGGTAAGAAATTGATAAGACTGCCAGGTCAATAAGACGTTTGCTTCTTTAAACCTTTTCTGGCCCTTTAGATGAAGGATAGACAGCTTTTTGTATCCCTAAGGGAGATTTTGTGGGGAGTCGTATCTACCAGACTGCATCTAACTCCCTCCCTACCAACTGACTTCACTTTTCAGAGATCTTTTTGCTGTGAAAGGTAGCTGCTTCTTTAATCGGTTTCCTTGGGTGAAAGAGCCTTCCTCCAGGAAAGAATGGAAATCATCTCCATATTTGCTCCCATAGCAAAACTAAGCAGTGTTAGCGTTCTTCCGTGGGAGGAAAAGGGGAGTCGTGAGCTGCCCTATCAGCGAGGGAGAGCTAAAGGTGGAGGGCCCCGCTCTCCACTAGTCAACAGGTTACCTGGGGCCAGTGGGAAGCATAGTGATGGGACACAAAAGAGACGCACCAGACCAAGTAAAAGTCTCCTTTTTCACTTCAGAAGATCAAAAGAATGAGACGATCAGTGCCTTTCTAGTTCTGTGCTTCTAGAATGCAGGTCGTTCTTAACTTACAGCGGTTCATTTAATGATCATTCCAAGTTATAACAGCACCGAAAAAAGTGAGTTATGACCGTTTTTCACACTTATGACTGTTGCAGCATCCCTGTGGTCATGTGATCAAAATTTGGATGAATGGCAATGGACTCATATTTGTGATAGATACAGTGTCCGGGGGGGGGGTCCCGTGATCACCTTTTGCGACTTTCTGACAAGCAAAGTCAGTGGGGAAGCCAGATTCATTTAATAACCATGCTACTAATTGAACAGCTACAGTGATTCACTTAACAACTGTGGCAAGAAAGGTTGTAAAATGGGGCAACTATCTTGTTTAGCAACAGAAATTTTGGGCTCAGTTGCGACTGTAAGTTGAGGACTTGTACTGATAATTTCTCTGAAGAGCTTTAACCCGAACTAGCTAGCTAAGTAAACTAGAAGAAGTTGTAGTAAGTGTGGTCTTGTTTTGTCTTTGTGCCACTTCATGTGTTCTTTGTATGTTTACATGGGGAAACCAAAGTGTACTAACTGGATGACTCCCTCCCAGTGCAACTGCTTAATGCTGTTACTTCTCCATATTTTGACTGCTCTTATAAAAATTATACATTTGTATTATTGCAATTATATTATTACAATTTATTCTCTTACTTTTTTGTTTTGTTGGCTCCAAACCTGAAAATCAATTTTGACATATATTTATATACCTTTGCTAATGTCCTGGCAGATTTTTGCAAGTATTATGTCACATCAGCTCACCTATAAATCTTGAGTTTCTTCCAGAAACTCAAACCCAAGTCTGTTAATAGACTCTTGGCCATTCTTTTCCTAGCTTTGAGACTGGAATGTATCTGCTCCTTATTTAAGCCGTTATTATGTCTAGGTCTTAGCAGCACTGTTTCTTGCCTCACCAACTTCATATATTTGAAAAAAAACCTTTTTTGTACATCTGTATAACTGGGCAACTCTGAATAATTAAACAATTTAATTTTAAACTTCCCATCTTGATTAATTAACATTAGAGGATGACTTTCACTAATTGAGTTATTTGAAATTCATCATGCAGTAATCAGTGGTAGAACATATATGATTTTTCAGATTCTACCTTGATCCCTCACAGTTAAATTATGCAGGTTATAAATATGGTGAATACGGGCCTTACTATTTGAATTTGAAAACAATGGTTCCTCAAGGGAAAAATAGGCTTCAGAATAGAATTACCATAATTTTTCATTATTGTACTGTTGTCTTAGGTGATTTCTCAGTCCAGACAGCAAGATATAAGAAATCAATTTTATTCCTCCATCCGGCTAGTAAAAATTAAAAACCTATGTGTAAATATATATATATATATATAATCCTATCTAAAAGTCTTCAAAATGAACTGAAAACTTTAGCCAGCAGAAAACATTCACAAAATCACATGACTTAGCAAATGGCATAGCACTGTTAATGCTCATATGTATTGGCAAGATACCTGAAAAGCCATTTCAGATGATATTCATGTAAACAATGTGTTCTGTGCAAACAACTACAGTGATTACATGTCATTGTCTTTCAAAAAAGGAAGCTCAAAAAGATAATTCAAAAGATGAATATGCTTGGCAGAGCACTTGAAGAGCAAAACCAAATTGCACCTATAATGTAGGCCCCAGAGAAGAAATTAACTGAAGAGGCAAACCTGTTGCTCCTTTTATAGGCTGAAGTTGAAGGGCTACCTTTGAGTCCACTGCTGTATAACCAAATTCAGCATGATCCTTCCCATGTCCCTGGGTAGTTACTTTTTTTTTTCTGGCTACTTGTAGATGACATATCTAATACTTGAGGACAATGTGGACAACGATCCTTGCAAATTTGCTCTCATGAATCGGGAAACATCAGAACGGTTCATATTGCAATCTGCCAATCCTGAAATCCAACAAGCTTGGGTACAGGATATCAGTCAAGTACTTGATACACAGAGGGACTTCTTAAATGGTAGGTATTTTGCTGCTGTGTTGAAATAAAGCCCAAGTATTTTGCAGTTGGCTGTAGAATTTTGGTTGACTCTTATTCCAACTTCAACCTGATATCAATTATATAGCCATCTTCATTATCTGTGTCATCCATACTATTTCTATCTTCACCTTTATATGGATATGAAGCCTAGCAGATTGTTGACTCTATTGATATCTTAGTACTAGTGATGTATATTTTATCTTAGATCTTTATGTTATCACTACTTTCTCTAATAGATTGGTTGTATTCACATAGGAATATACTTCCAATGTAGGTAAGTCTAAACAGTTGACAGATTTATAACTTCTTGGTAACTGCCACCCAGTAAAATGATTTTTTTAATTTTACTGGGCATCAGGTGCGGAGGGAACCAAACAATAACACATGTGTGACAAATCATCATGGAAATGCTGTCATTATGTATTTGCATTCCAATATCTGCCACAGGTACATAAGTTGTGCCATTTGCATGATTATATCAATACATATGTCTGGACATTATGGCTTCAAATGGATGTTGTTGAACAATTCAGAAAAGTCAATGGAGAAATAGTGGTTGTTCCCTTATTTCAATATTACAGGCAACCATCTCTTTATTGGATGATTATTTGCATAGAGTTTAAATAGAACAATAGTTCATTCATTCATTTTAACTTCAACCAGGAAATGACAGAACTTTTTCATTTCTCATGGTAGAAGCCTTCATCCTTATTTCTGGCACATATCTCACCATTCAGTAATAGCATGACATTGATATGATTTCTTCCTCATTTGGAGAAGACCTTTCTAAGTTCTATAGAATATTAGCTTAAAATAGCACATGCTTCTCTTTAATAAGTTTCATGTAGGATTCCAAGCTTCACATGTTATGCAGTGATACCGCTGAATAGACCTATACAGCAAACTTAAAGCATGTCACTATCATGTAATATAAATTTCTATATATGTGTGTAGTTAAAGGATGCATAATTGAAGTAGCTTTTGAGGTGTCTCTGCTTTTTTGTCCTTTGAGCTGTAAAGCTAGAATATTGGAAAAGTCTATGGCAACTCTTCATGAAACCTGAAATATCCAAAACTATAGCACTGTTTTCTTTGCTCATAGAGTTTTTAAACTTGCTCCCTCATCTTCCTAATGAAAAGGCTTCAGTTTTCCAACTGTTTTTAAACTAACAACTGATTAGCTTTCAGTTGCATTTGTGGAATTATTTTAAAAATATTATAGGGAAATTGGAAGTACTAAACCTATCCTGGAAATTATGAATATAATTTTTGTTTTGTTTTCTTTTGAGGAAAATAATGGAACATTGTGCCATTGATTTTCAGTGATTTACAAAGGTCACTTGTGACCCATTCTTGCTTCATGATGTGACAGATGGGGAGGTCTGCTGTAACACATCATATTCTGTTGTAGCATTACAGTCTCCAATAGAGTATCAGCGTAAAGAAAGCAGCAGTTCAGCTGTAATGAGACCCCAAACCAGCCGGGCACCTCAGCCCATCACCAGACCCTATTCCTCAGGACCTGTAGGATCTGATAAAACTTCAAAGGCTACAATGCGCAACCCATCTCTTCCACCTCTGAAGATATCTACCTCCAATGGTAACACAGTGCATGAACAGTATCAGCCTGAGGACAGATATGAACAGAGCAAGGTAATGGAACCATGTTCATTCTAAATTTGGCTAACTATTGATCTGGTTGGTGGAGGAAGAAGTAGTGGAGACACAATAAGCTATTGTTTCTTGAAGAATCTATATTTGACTAGGCTTGTACAAGCCATATGACATTGTTTACAAATCGCAGTAGTTGACTTCACGTAACAGAGTATGCCAAACAAACTCAACAAAATTTGTCACATGAACCAGGCTGTACAGTAAAAATATAATATGCTCTGTGTGGTCATTAAATTAAGAAATATGTATGTTTCTTTTATTATAGTGAAAATACGGTGGGATGTTAAGGAAAAACGCAACATCTCATTGTATGAAGAATGAAGGAAAACTGCTAAAAAGCAAGCAATTGTATCTATTGGCAGACATTAGGCATTAATAATTAAACAAATGTTTTTTATTGACACCTTTACAGATTTAGGCTGTCTCTTTTGAATAAATGATTTAAGGAAAGGTCGCCTATCCATTCGGCTAAGCACCCATTTCCCCTTCAAAATTATTGTTCACTTCTGTGGGTCTCTAAATGTGGATTTAAGCAGCAGACTGTTGGGAATTCATGCACTTTGCCTCCAAAAAGTGCCAGGGCAGATGAAGATTTCAGCTTTGATCAACAGGAAAGATTAATAAATAAGGGGCATGAAACATAATAGCTTAACTGTTCCAGCCAACATCGTATTGTAATTTGCTTTAGATTTTGCCTCATCTGATTTGCTTGAGCTGCAAGGATAAAAATGTAGCCCTAGTTCTACTCAAGTAACCTTTCTTTTGTTTCCGAGATAATGCTAGTACTTGAATGGTTTCCAGGCAATTAAAAAACAAACAAGCTTTGGACATCTTTTTAATAGAAGCATATGCTCAGGTTCAAATTTGAGATTTGAGAATACAATATTGTTTTCATATTGGGCCTTTTATTCTGAAATTGCTACTATACGGTTCAATGTTAGTGGTCCAAGCAAAATTGTATTAATTCCATTAATGTCAGTGGGTTTTGTATCCCCCTTTTGTTTTTTTCAGCTTGATTTGCGACACTCTTAAGGTACTAAAAGAATTAATACATCAGTACCTTATCTTGTATCAATGGATAAAATACTGCTTCAGTTTCTGAGGGGTGATTTGTCTAGCCATTTAATTGCCTTTGTGCTGAAAGGCACTGTACAAGATGATGGTGATGAAACGTTAATATTATGTCACAGTTACCTTGTTGTTGTTGTTCTCTATGTTTCCTCTTCAGAATGACTTGGGTGGGTGCAATGGAACCTCTTCTATGGTGGTCGTCAAAGATTACTATGCATTAAAGGAGAATGAAATCTGTGTCAACCAGGGTGAAGTGGTCCAAGTACTTGCCATTAACCAGCAGAACATGTTCCTTGTGTACCAGCCTGCCAATGACCACTCACCAGCAGCAGAAGGATGGATCCCAGGGAATATCTTGGCTCCCCTCACTAAATCAGCTACAGATAGTAGCGACGGAAGCATAAAGTAAGTGCTGTGTTGGATTCCCAGAGAGCAGTATGTGGATTTTTGAGGAAAAATTAAACACAAATGGTAGGATTTTCCTACTGTTTCCTTATATCTTCAGTGCCATTGGAACAAACTATGCTTGATAACACAGCATGGGGTATTCATCTTGGAATAGTTGGGGTTTTTTTGTTGGTTTTTTTGTGTGTTTTCCCTCTATAATTTATAAAATATTAAAATCCATAGACAGTTTTAAAAGCATGGTTTATGTTCTCCATCTTTTCCTAATCATGGATCTAATTGACTGGATTTCTATTTATCTTGTGTTATAATAATGTGTGTGTATGTGTGTAGACCCAAACACACATATGTGAATGTGAAAGGGTGTGTGTGAGAGGAAAACAAAACAAAACAAACATTGCTCTCCTCTACTGGTTTGTGTCCTGCTTCTCAAGGAAGAGTTTTTATGTTGTCTATGGCGATTTCTTGTACAGTTTGTAACATTTTCATTTTGGTTTTTTTCTGTTCGCATATTTTGTATAAAAAAAATTTTTTGTTTGATAAATCCCTTTTGCAGTACATTCCTGTAAAAAGTATTTTGCACTATTTAAAAAAAAATCCCATATTTGAAGTCAGATTGTGCAATATTATGGATAGTCGCAATGTTCATCATTGTACCTGTAATGTAACTAATAATTTTAAATGTACTATTTTAAATATGTAAAATAAATTTTCACTATGAGCATGTTTTGAGAAGATTATAAAAGGACCAATTTCTGACCCACTTTAGTTCTTTTTTTCTTTCTATGTTTTGTTCCTAATTTAATGAAATGTGAAATACTCTTTCCAATTTTTTTGTCATTTTGTTAATTTGAAATGACTAAATGCAAGAAAATGTTTTTTGATATTAAATACAAAAGGTACAATCCTTTTCCATAAAAACTGTTGTTGTTATTTTACACCTGCAATTGTCAAACCAGTATCGGTTTTCTCACAGAAAAGTCACCAAAGCTTGACTTTGCCAGTGGTAAATGTTTCAATATTGTGGTTTAAATGCTGAAATACAATACAATACCATGTTCCTTGTTCTGATGCTGTCATCTCAAGAGCTATACTATTAATTATAATAGGGACAAAACCATACCAGTTGCAGATATGCCCTTAGCCATTGTTTACTTTAGCTTTTTCATAGGTACTAACCAAGTTCAACTTCAAATAGGATTTCTCTTTCAACCAAGGACGAAATTTGATAAGAAGGAAGATAAGAAGGAAGAATCAGTGATATCCATGATTAAATACCACAAAGAAAAAGAGAATGTGCCTTTGAAGCCAGGCCTAATCGTTTCTGTGTTAATGATTAATAATGTGTTAATGAGAATGGTCTGACAGTTGCAGAATTATATGGTCTAGTCAGTTGCACATCCCCTGAGCATAGCTAGAAATTGGCAGTGTGTGAAATACTTGGCCCTCCATTCATAGGATAATATTGAAGAATCACTGAAGTGATCATTGGGGAACCTCTGAGGCTGAGTCTTGCCAATTGTGTGTACTGACAGCTGCTTAACTCTCAGTAACAGCCCAATAAATAGAGTTCCTGAGAATAGTAAGAAGTGGCACTAATTGCTCCCATAAGTTAGCCTGTTTAGGACTGCTTCATATATGACAGCAATTGACTTAAAAATGCCACTCCTGCACAGTGGTGGCTTCATCTAACTCCCTTAATGTCTTGCTATAAAGAAAATGGTGTCATTTACAGCAGCAACTTTTCGTGAAAAATCAGCTGTATTATAATGCCATTGATGAGATAAACACCGAAGCTGTGAAAATAAAGCATGACTTACCAGGTAGAAAAAATAAATACCAAAGATGGTGAAATGAGGGATGGATGTGAAACGCAATGAGACACATATAAGGGAACAAATACATAGAGAAGGCACACACACAAGAATACACGAGAAGTGAAACAAAAATAAATGAGGGTAAGGAAATTTTATCAGTATAAAAATTAAGGCTATTGATGTAGGCTTTGGTATAAGGCTATACCAAAACTGAATTCAAATATTACTCAAATGTCTTGGATTATGGAGAATTTTTCAGTTAATCTTTTTAAAAAGTCCACGAAATTACTTACAGATTTGCACATATCACTTATAGCTGTTAGAATAGATGGAGGTTTCATATTATTGTAGAATGGTGAAGGGGCAAGGAAATGGTATAATGATTTGTGCATCCTGTTTCAGAGATGGGCCTTATCTGAATGTATACTAGAAAATGATAATCTTTGCCTCCTTATTACAAATTTAAACAGAGAGTCCATTAAGCAAGGGTTCTAGAGCCATCTAATTTCACCTGTTTTATTTTGTTTAATAATACTTTCATTCTTCCCATTGGACTTTCGTACTTAGATGTATATTGAACTCAGCTGTAACCTTGAAATATTTTTATAAGATGTATTATCAAAAGCCCTCCTCAAATACTTTTAATACATACATTAACTCATGTGATAAGAAAAGGATCATAGCCCTAGCTATATATATTGTATTTACAGACTTGCTGCTGAAAAACCAAGAGAAAAGAGAGATTACACAATTCCACTGATTCAATGAATGTACCTATTGAAAATGCAAAAAAAAGTCTAAACTTTTTTAGAATAAATACCATAAGATATAAATCCATCCATATATACTGCTTGTTCAATAAGAATCCAAAAAGCTGCTTAAGAGATATTTCTTGAAGCACCAACACAGCCCATAAGTATTCGTTCACATGAATTAAAGGAGGATACAGGAGAAAAGCACAGCCAGACTTCCAAGATTCTATTACTATAGCTAATATTAATAAAAGTAATTTTGGCCTTCGTGTGGAGTTGATTTGTGATTGGTTTGGTCCTCCTTGTAGGGCTGACAGTGGAGTACTCTAATTAATTATATATAATTGATTTAAGATTAGATTTCATTCTTGCCTTGACTCTTGTCTGCTTCTAGAAATACAGGACCCAGCACACCATTCAAAAGCTTAGTTCAGTCTTTGACCTAAACACAGTTGTGCTGTGTTGCAAAATTGGAACAAATTGCAACAAACCCTCATTTGATCATTCATTTTCATAGAGCCACTATTAAATAGCTCAAAAAGGATTTTTTTTTAATTCATGTACGTTTGTATACTGTTCTAATCATAGATCCTAGGTGCATATGCATAAGCATTTACTGCCTCCTATTTTGCATGCTTGCTGCTATAGTATTACACTTGTTGCTCTTGTGACAACTGTAATGCACTATGCAGAATCACCTATTTGTATAGTATGTCATTCTGGTCCTGCATGAAAAAAGAAAAATAGAGGCTACTACCTTTTGTTTCAGTTTTTTTTATTTCGGTACACATCTCAAACCTACAAATATATTTGGAAATTGAAGAATAACATTTCTGCTAAAAACCTAAAATCCCACTTATAAATATATATTCTTTCATATATTGTTTTGATTAACTAAATTCTGTATTTTTCCACTTTACCTGTCATGTTGTTTTCTCTCTTCTACTTCCCCATCCCAAAGAAAAGCTTCTTACTGTGTCAAACCATTTTATTGTTACCATAGCACAATATGAATACAGCCAATTTAATTCTCTCTTATTTAGAAAGGTTTTTTTTCTTTGACAAAACATTATTGATGTTGGACTGATCAAATGCCGGCAGAGTAAAACACTAGGAAATTTAAGTATAATGAAACTTGCTCCGTGAAATAGCCAATTCTGTTACTTTAATAAAATTGCAGTTGAACTTTTGATGTTTTGGAATGTGGCACTAAACTCTGGAAAATGGAACTATTTGTCCACATTGTATCTAGTACTAAATCTTTGCATGTTACAAATCTTACACATACAGTTTGCTTTTCATCTATATTTTAAAGATAATGTTTGGGTTCCAACAGGAATAATTGTTTTAGAATAGTTCGAATTTCAGGTTTGAATATGTATATCCAAGTAGATATATTGCAGGTGGCTTCCATCTCCTTGGGAAGAGCTGCAGAGATTCAGAACATGTATGCTCCTTGCCTTTCCACATCCCTTCCTCTTCCTACTAAGACCTCCTATTTGATTAGTGCATTTTTTGGTATAACAGGAAGTCATGTTCATGGCATACCCTGCGCATGAGAAAGAGGGCGGAAAAGGAGAGCAGTGGCAAAACGGAAGCCAATGGCCTACGTAAACCCAAGGATATTCTGGGCAACAAAGTCTCTGTTAAAGTGAGTAAGGCCATTTGAAGCTGTTCGCTGCCTACTGCTTCTCATCCTCACTCCCCCTGCAACATCTTCTCTGTGGACAGGGGGTGACATCTGGCTTTTGTTTTTGTTTTTCCTTTTTTTGCTTTTATTTTTAATTTCTTTTACTTTTTGGTAGTAGTAGCATTCTGGCCGGCGTTTGCATGCAGGATACAGCACAGCTTTTTTCTCCTCACCACTGGCATCCAAAACTGTAAGTAGAGCGAGTGTATGTGTGTGCCCGTATGTGTGCGTGCATGCATGTATATATGCCCAGGGGGCGGGTAGTACTTTACTTTCGGTAGTTTTCTGTATCATCCCAAATATATGGGGGGTAAAAGCTCACAAGAGTTGAATGGAACCAAAGCATGCAGCCTAAACAGGAACTATGGTAAATATGTTCTCATCATTTTCTGATAAGAGATAAGAAAACTTGGGGAATAGTAAGCCATGACAATGTAGTACAGGAAAACGATTTGGTAGGACTCCTTTGTCTGCCTAAGGTCTTATGTTGCATTATAGGCTTTCAGGCTTTGCAGAACCGCCCATCTTAGAGAAGTTACTATAGCATTCATATCACAGCCTTTGCTTTCTAAGAACTGGATATGAGAAAGAAAACTCACATGTTCCTCCTATTTTTCAACTCTGAGCTAGATATGCAATGTTCCAGTTTTTTTCTCCTGACTTTGGCATGACACTCCCAGGATTTTATCTCCTCTGTAGAAAGAATTCAAATAGCTTCCAGGTTATATATCCCCTTAAGAGGTAGTAGTGGAGACCCCTTGCTTTTTCTTCCTCCTCAATAGATACTTCAGTTCAGAAAACACGGATTCGGCAGAATTCATAAGTTGTGCGATTAGCCCATATAATAAGTCCATACACTGTATAAAGGTTTAATGTGATTTGTTTGCTTTGATTTAGCATATTATGAGTATTATAGCATCTTCAACAATGCCAGACTGAGTTATATTAACTCATAAACTAATTTGGCATGCATTTAATATACTGTGTAGACTCAGTACAGTACTGTGTCAGTTCCATAGTTCCTATTGTTAGATCTACTCCATACTATAGAAGAGAGAAAGATTAAGGAATGACCAGTCAAAGATCTACTATGATAGATCCATAAATTTCAAGTGAGTGGAAAACATGCATATTAAAAGTAAACACAGTATAAAACTATAGTCAAATCACCTGCTATTTTTCTGGAAGTCTGTACAGTTATTCAAATATGAGAGAAAATTCTTAAGAAACTTGAGTAAAATTTATCCATTATGACATTCTGAGAATTAGAGTTTCACACCTTCTCTTACCACATGTTATATACTGAATAAAGAACCTCAAAGAGCACTGAAACCAGCTGTCATATCCCAGAATATCTTCTGGCATTGATTTCAGCAGTTACTTGGAACAGGCAATTAAGACTCAGTTCTTAGTCACTTAAAAACCTGATAGGAATAAATGAGGCAATTGAACTATTGATCCAAGTTATTCATCTTTTGCCCATATTCTCAGCAATGTCTTATGTCTCTATGCAGATGCTACTGAAACATAATTTATAAATATGTATTTCCTTTATAAAGTTTTTTGAACGTTGATGTTTGGTGCTATTTGTTTTTGATACCAAAGTGATTTTTTACAAAACAAGGACTTACATTCTGGGAGAATTGTACAAATAGAACCTACATATTGTATTTCTTCTTCTCTCCCCCCCCTTAAATCCTATTCTAAAATTACTGTAAGCAGATCTCCATTTCTATGTCACAGAACGTTTTTATTCAAATTCAGCATGATTCAACAGGATGTTGCAAATTTAAGCTTGTGTTCTTATAACAAAAGTGTTTTATTTTGTCTTTTAATTAATCTTTCCCAGGTTTGTGTTTGCATTGTTTCATGGAAGTAACAGATGTTAGAAAAAAAATAAAAATACATATATTTCTATTTGTTGTAATGGCTATAAAATGGGATAGAACTTTTGTATTTTTCATAATTGGGGAGAAGGAAGAATTCTTGCAGTTGCAACAATCTCCATTCTTGCAGAATTGCTCCTCTGTAACTATGAAAGACAGAAGAACCCTATTTTATCTGAACAATTTCAAATATGCAATCTGTGTAAAAACAAATAGCCATTTACCGTTCCACAGAGATGGAAAATATTTATCAACAGGAAAATACTATAAATCATTAGTGTTTATCATCATTTCACTTTATTACATTCCATTAAAATCCCATTTTTTATTTAAGCCAAGATTATAATGTTCAAGAAAACAAATTCACATATATCAACATACAATATTAAAATCCTAGCTAATAGTTCTAGTACATTTAAATTTACTCATCCACTGCAGAAATGTTATTTTTTTAAATTGGCAGCACTTTCATTTTAATTCTTTTTCTTCACATTCTAATTTAAGGATTAAACTTTTCAGAAAAAACATACAGAGATGTTTAATATCAGCTTCTTACTTATATTCTCTTCTTAACAGTATTGTTACAGAGACATAAAATTGCATGTATTTATATTTAAGTACTGTACTATAGATCTAAATAATGCTGTCCCAGCAAGCTAAAAGAGCATATAAGATTTGGAGTGTTTTTCCTAACACTAAATATAAAGTAATCTTTTCTACAGAGAGGACAACATTTTATTTAATCTCATTTATTTCAAAGTACAATATGTATTATTCTGATCACATGGCTTTTAAGATCCCACGTAGCATATACTGTCATACAAAACAATTACATTAAATATTAAATAAATATTAAAGAAAAAAGTAATGGAGATTTATCCACTTCTAACTGTTAAAGAATAATTTTGGCAAGATTATCAACCCCATTATTATTCTGGCACCAAATGTTAAAGTATAGAGAGGTAAACATTTTATTTTTGATAAAACAGTCTTGTAATTTTATTAATAAATAATTGCGAATGGATTGGATTGAGAATTTCCTTTCATTGGCAGGAATTTCTTCAAATTGTTCTTACTCATAAAGTAGGAAGAAGGAGTCTGGGATCTGGTTGGTTGGTTTGCAAATTCCCACCACTTCTAGAACTTCCCAGAAACAGACAGATCATTCTGTCTATCTATCTATCTATCTATCTATCTATCTATCTATCTATCTATCTATCTATCTATCTATCTATCTATCTATCTATCTATCTATCTATCTATCTATCTATCTATCTCACACTTGTGTGCTGCCCAACTCTCAGTGGGGTGGGGGCTCACAATCAACAAATTACAATAAAATCAATAAAAGATAGCAAGTGCATGGGACCATTTTTTTAATATTGAGATTGTATAACATTTTCAAAATTATTTAAATTATGGCTTGGCCAATCTTTCTTCAGCTGCTGACTGCTAGAATGGACTGCTATCCCAACTACTTAATAACATCAGGTAGCAAGGCATACATTTTTCTAACAAAATGCTCAAAACAGCTATCTTCGGGAAAGCTTGGACTCCGACTGGTTGGTCCAGGGGGAGGAGACGGGAGCAGGTCTTGAGACGGTTGTATGGGAGGAGTTTGACTCTGTTGCTCCTGAAGATGTGGACAGGGTCCTGGGGAGACTGAATGCAACCACATGTTTATTAGATCCGTGTCCCTCCTGGCTGGTACTGGCAGCCAGGGAGGGGACACGAGC